GCACATGAATTTCATTTTAATTTATAATTTCAGTCAGATATCCTTTGTGACCAAACAAAACCCTCCTGCAAAAATTTATTTAATGTCCATTTCAAACAAACAATAGAATTTCAAAGGACAAATTTTCAAAACCAACCTATGTAGAAACTTAATTGCCAAAAAACGACATGTTTAGAATTTATTTACCAAATTCGATCCAGTTTCAACCAATTGGCTGAAACTATGTCGAATTTAGCGAAAAAAGTTACAAAACTTCACGGGACTTCAAGTCCCGTGAAGTTTAAACGCGCGGTAATGAAGTTGATTAGTGGCCCAAAACTTCACGGGATCCCGTGAAGTTTTGTGGCTTCGCCAACTTCAAGTCCCGTGAAGATTAAGGCAGAATTTTCAGAGAGCATGACCTCTCATGGATGACCGCGATGCTCCAAGCTTCCTCTTCGAGTCTGTTGAGTAGGTCTCTCATGGACCAGTGTCTTAAGATTCCTCCTCCTCCTTTCATTCTTATTCCTATTCCTTCTCTTCTTTCTTCACTTCCATCAACCAATAAACTAATAAATCGATGATCAGAAACTCTGCTTATCAAATCACAAGGTAGGTACAACTTTGTTGGGGCACAACCTGCAATGGAGGTTGTGGCAAAGGAGAATCTGGCCTCCATCGTGGACCACGAACAAGGCCACAGGACCGAGAAGCTTGTTGAGGATCCTATGCAAATCCCACGCACTATCACTCAAGGATGGAACCCACAGTTCCTCCACGAACATCCCCATGATGTCTTCTTTCTGCTGGCGTAACCCCACCTAGCACCCTTTTGCCATGCTTTCCCTAAACCCCCCCTTCCAATTTTCCTGTCAAATGTTTAGTGTCCTTCTACTATCATTGGCTTTCTCTTGCGTTATTATGTCTTATACCGTGAGGTGTGTTATTGTGCCTTAATCTTCACGGGACTTGAAGTCCCGTGAAGTTGGAAGCCACAAAACTTCATGGGACTTCAAGTCCCGTGAAGTTTTGGGCTACTAATCAACTTCGTTATGACGCGCTTAAACTTCACGGACTTGAAGTCCCGTGGAGTTTTATAAATTTTTCGCCAAATTCGACCCAGTTTCAGCTAGCTGACTTAAAACTAGGTCGAATTTAGTAAATAAATTAGAAATAAGTCGGTTTTTGCAATTAAATTTCTAAAAAACAAGTTAGTTTTGAAAAATTGTCCAATTTCAAACCCCCCCCTCCATACGTGATACATCAAATTCCTTGCAAACGTGTAAGCCAACCAAGACCCACGCTGGGCAGCTTATAATCCTCCACGTCAGCAGTCGTGCGGAAGTTACATGTGTCCAAGCCTCGCTCTCTTTAAAAAACGTGTAAACGCTGCCAAGTAGAGAAGGTTCTCAATATTCCTTTTCGAAACCTTCGATTTGTTTCTTCTCTCAGAACCGACATCAACCGATCGCGTTTCTTTCTTCACCGAGATCCGAATAGGCTGCTTTTTATTTTTTATCATCCCCCCGAAGAGGAAGATGTCGTACCGCTACCTCATTCAAGTACATCATCATCGAAGATACCGTAGATTTCTCGCCCCCCTCCCCCCCCCCCCCCCCTGCTCCTAGGTTCAATCTTTCTACTTCACTTTGGAGTTTTTCCATGGCGTTTAGAAAATTGTGGCTTAGTTTCGACTTATTGTAATGTATTCGAGTTTGGATGGTTGAACTTGCAATGGAAACGCTTATTTTAGTTTGGGATCTACTTCTTCACGTATTGGGTGTGGTACGATGGCAGAGAATTTGAATTAGGTTTCATTTGGATTCGGGAATTCCGAATGGTGTGCGGTTTGAAATGGGATGCACAAAGTATGAAATCGTAAAACGAGTTCTAGATTTGTTTAGGTTACACTACGTCACTCTTAGGTACATAGCCACATATATTATTTAACCTAAATTTCACTAACAACCGTTTGTTATTCTTGTTATGCTCTTAACCTTCTCCATCTATTCCCGGCTATGAGTGCGCTGGGAGAGGGAATGATTGCGTATGGACTGAGGAAAGGTGGATAGAGGTGGGATTGAAGTGTGGTGTATTGGGTGGAGGAGTTGGATTAGGGGATTTTTAAGATAAAATACTGATGGAGTTTTATTTGGTGTAAATTAATTGGGAGCTATTTTATAATATCATGTTTTGGGGACTTATTTCAAATCATGCATCTTTATGGAGTTGAATGTAAGAAAAACGTAAGATTTTGACGAATGCTATCTTTAGTTTATCAAGACGATAAACTTGTGTAGTTGATTATAACTTGATTGGCAGCATTTGCACCTAGATTATTTTAATGATGTAGTTGACGATGGTGCTTATTATTTGAGCGTGGAAATGAAGTATGATACTTTGAATTATATGGGGCAATGTTTAAAATAATGAAAATGGGTTATGTAACGTTTGGCCTCCTATTAAGAGTTAAGGAAAAAATGTAAAAAAACGTAACGCATAATGTAGGTTATATTGTTTATTAATTATTTAGATATTTTATAGATACTAAGTTACTAACAATACATGATATTTTTAGTACCTAGAATCATCAAACTTTTCAAATATAACATCACAATTATCAAATATAAAAATATAGTATCACAATTTCTTAACAAAAGTTAGTTATATACACTGTTATAAATAGCAGTATATAGCGTTGCAACAGCGGCGCTAATAGCGTTAGCGGTCCCTTCCTGTTATGCTATCGCCCAATAGTGATGACATATCGCGGAATATGTGCTTTTCGCTCGCAAAAACGATTAATAGCACGTCATAGCGGTGAATAGCGGACAATTGCAAGCAAAATCCACTTTTTGACCGCTATGTAAAAGCGGTTTGAGGTTTATTTTTTTAAAATTAAACAAACCATACAACCACTGCATCCCACTATCTCCTGCAATTTTCGGCGTATTCCCGTAGCCTCCCACAGTCTCTAGCAGCTCCCTAACACTTTCTCTCACCTCATTTTGCCGTGAGCTTCTGCGACTGTAGTTCTCTTACCGCTCAGCTTATCTTCTCAAAGACAATAACTTTTTGGTTCCTCCTTCAGTCATCTTCAGTATTATATGACATTTACATGTCTATTTCATGTTTAGTATTTTCTTTAATCATCAAATATGCACTTTTAGAGTTTCTAAATTTTTCTTTAATATTTCTTATTTTTTTGAATATGTATACATATCTAAATTAGACTGCTATTTGACTTTGCGTTTTTTACCTCTATTTTACCGCAATAGCCCCAAACGGTCTTAGCGATGCCTCACTTCTATATGACGCTATTCGCTATCGATAATGTTGGTTATATATGACTAACGACCATTCCAAAAAGTATCGTCAAATGATAAAAGTTAACGTTGTCAAGTTCATGGCAATAAAAAAGTCTAAACACTTCCAACTCTCGAGTTCTTAACTTCACAAAATATTCTATTTCCTAATCAAGTTTGCTACATCAACCAAACTAAATATGATTATGTAATAACCGTAACAATTTTTGCATATACAGAGATTGCGTGCAAACTTAATTTCACAAAATCTAATATTAACTTAAAACTTAAAACTAAACCCTAGTCAACATCAAGTAATAACTAAAAGTAATTATCTAATCAACACAATTAACTCACTAATTAATCTTGGTACTCTAATTCTGTGACGGATCTTAAAAATTATGTTGAAGGGTAAAGTAATGGAGCAACAAGTTTGATATCATTTGTGGTAATTGACAATATAAAAGAATAGAATTTGGAAAGTAATTTCAGAACCATTATTTATTTAAAGGATATAAATTGAGATGCCCGATACACAATTGAAAAATAAAAAATTTACCTCGCTAGAGTCACAGAAGTTGCCGATAGCTGGTAGCTGAGGAGTTTCAGAGGAGGCAAAGAGCTAAGGTTTGCGTTGGAGGAGCCGAAGAGATCGCATATTCGCAGCAAGAGAATATGGTGATCGGGGCTATAAGCGGTAGGGTTTAATAATTTGGGCGGTGGATATGCATCAACACGTCCTAATTAGGGATGCAATTTAACCAAAAAACAACCATGTTAACTGGTTGTATAACTATAATGTAACACACATATAACACAATATAACGTGTTTTTTTTTCGGTGCATCCACAACCTGGAACTCTATCGGACTTCTAGGTTAAACAGTTTCAGGGTTAAATAGGTGTGTTACCTAATAAGAGGGCACCGTTAAGATACAAAACGAGTTATAACGGGTTTTTAAACACTGATATGGGGTACTGGGGGATAGCCTTGATTAGGGGGTGGTATCTTGGGTCATCCTATGCCTGGGAACATGCATGGGTTATGGCTCATGTTCATAGTTATTCATGTATTTTATGGTTTATAGGGTTATGCTTACGCGCACGCACACACACAATTTAGGATTATGATAATAATGATTGCTTGCATTTTTTTCTAAGAGCACACACACACACAAAATTTAGGATTATGATAATAATGATTGCTTGCATTTTTTTTCTAAGATATAAATCCATCATATGAAACTTGTTACTTGCTTGGATAGAAAGAAAAGAAAATTCGGTAATGAAAAGCAAAATGATGCTGATGGTTCTATTGAAGTTTTAAATTAAGCTATCAAAGGTCAAAGTTCAAACTTTAAGCTTCCAAGACAAATGTTGTTTGAAAACTACATATAAGTCTAACAACAGAGTAAAAGCAGAAACGGAGCAAAATAAAAATGGAACAAAATAAATTAGTGTATCTTAATGAATTAATTAGTCATATTTTTCCTCGACTTCTTAGATTTTTAGTGTTATTGATGTGAATAGGTAATTTGCCACACGTATGATTCTTATTTAGATTAGTGGATTGTTATTTGGATGACCATTTTGTAAACTAGGTAACATTTTTTGGCATTGGGAAATTTGGAAGTAATTGCAACCGTAAACTTGTAGATGATAATTACGAAAAATTTTCAGTCATTTCCATGTACTTCCATCCTTCCTGCCTCTGCTATCTTTTTGTAATTATCTTCTTCTGCCACAAATGTCCACATTGCTCAAGCAGAATAATTAGATGCTCTAACATATGTAGGAGCAATTTTAATGTTGAATATATTTCTAGGATTAAAAAATGTGCGGCTCCTTCCTTTGAAGTTGGTGTATAGTTAGTAACCTCACTATACCCACAAGTGGTTATTATTTGTCTTATACTATTTTAGTTTCCTCTGGTGTTGTGACATGCCTGTAGCACCAGAGTTTCCTGAGAGTTGAGAGCATCACTTGTATTTTTTATTTTTTTATTTTAAAGAAAATTTTAATTTTCTTGATATAGTGAGTTATTATGTCTTCCGTTTCTTCTTTCCAGGGGTTGGAAAATCATGTCTTCTTTTGCAGTTCACTGATAAGAGGTTCCAACCTGTTCATGACTTGACAATTGGTGTTGAATTTGGGGCTAGGATGATTACTATTGACAATAAGCCCATAAAGTTACAGATATGGGATACGGTTTGTTTCATACTTCCCATCCTTTTAAACTGTATGATTGTCGTTTGCTGTGTTTCTTTTCTACAATGTCAAGGTTCTCTTGTTCTTACGAAGTAGTTGGCCTACTGTAAAGTAGTAATGAATAGTCACAATATTCCTGAGCTTTTGGGGATTACCTTATTTTTAGTTCTGACTGTTCCATTGTATTTCTCAAACTGTATCATATCTGTATTGAATTAGGAATATAACGTTTCTTTTGACAAGTGTAGAGTTCCATGAGTAGGAGTGGTGGTGAGGGCCAAGTTTGAGAGGTATACAACAGTATTTTTTTGGGAAAGTGCCTTCACTAAAGCATGAGAAGTTTTGAGGTGAAATAAATTTATATAGTCGTGATTCAACACTGAAATTATGTGATGCTATAGAGAACAAATCAACAAAAAGAAAGCTCTAGGAAAAGATAGGCTTATAACTACAATTGACTGTCACTGGCATGTTGGGCTTTTTCCTAGCTACAGGTTGTGCAGGGGCATATTTAATGTCTTATAACCTTTAGATTGGTTGGTGGAAGATAGTTATCCTGCTGATCATGAAGTTTAACCTCGTACTGATAGAGTGATTTAATATAGTTAGGGGAGAACCTAGACGGATCCAGTTTTGTATAACATATTTATCAGCTCCCAGGTTCTTATGCTCGAGTTTTACTCAAGTTGCTGAGCTTAAACTGCATAATCAAGATCTAATAGTAGATCTGCCTACTGATTGGCCTGTTAGTGTGTACGGAAAACCTTTCTTCTATCCATATTTCATCAGCAAGGAATTTGGCCAGCATGGCTGGTAACATGATTATGGCACAATTGGTGCTGACATGGTGGTAACATGATCATTAAGAATTTTGATCCATAGGGTAAGTTCCATAATAGTGATTACATTTTGGCTTACCACAGTTTATCGAATATTTTGTGGTACGTCAAAAGCTTTAATATTTAGGTTGGGCCTGGATGCTGATAACACATTTGCATTATTAAAGTCATTGGTCCTGTTCTTACTGAAAGCATTCATGTGCATTGGTGTATGATTGAGCTCCATTTGAGCCTGCATTTCCTGTGCACATTACATGAAAAGATCTAGAGCTTATGGAACCCTAAACTTTCCAGGAAACTGTACTGGTGGCTCCTATTTGAATGCAGTGAAGCTCAAGTACAGGTACATGGTTTATTAGCTAAGAAGATAATTTAAGTGAGTCGTTTAAGCTTTCAGAAATTGCATGGCTGCATAGTTGTTTTGTGAACTCTGGTACAAGATACAAGTAAATTGGACTGAAAGGGGGGAGAGGGGGAGGGGGAGGGAGGGATCATCTGCTCTTTTATAGCGGCCCCTTCCCATAGGCTAGTAGCATAGTGCAAAATTTCTTCCATAGGCATTTCTTTAGGCAATGAATGTATTGTCCATGTTATATGCAATGTCCATTTAGTTAAATATTTTTAAAAATATTTTATGTGGAATTTTATCAATATTAAAATAGTTTCCAAATTGGAGTTCGATACTTATATTCCAGAACTCTGTAAGATCAAAGTTATGGAATATGCTACTCGATTCCAAATCTATCTTTTTGTTCAAAATATAGAGTATTTGAGAGGAAAGAAAATATATTCGTCTTTACCCTTCGGTTCGACTATAAGAGTTGTATAAGGTCTCTCAGGACTCTGTACATGAATTTACCAAATTCAAGAAAAAGATTTTGTTGAAGATAATGGAAGACTTCAGGCAGCACTCGAGTTCTTTACTGAAGCCACTGAAAAAGCTTCAAAAGCACATACAGTTAATGAGGACAAAACAATTCTGCTGTTTGATTGGGTTTCCAATACGAAACCTAAACGGAAAGGAAATGATAGAACTAGAGATTCTCTTCAAACTCTTGTTTTAAAAAAAATTAGTACTTTCTCTCAAATACATTATTTTATGGAGAACGAAGAAGAAGATTTACATAATATAGAATCAGAAGACATAATGAAGAAGCAGTTGATATAGAACATTATTTTATGGAGAACAAATAAGATCTACAGACCACTATAATCAGAAGACTTAATGAAGAAATAGTTAATATAACGATGTTAGATTTCGGGGAGGAATAGTAAGTGTGGTGGGTCCTACCAAGTCACTGTTGAAAAATAATTAAAGAGAATTTTTACTGTGCAAAAGGAGGACACGTCAGCCCTGCTTTTAGTCTAATCACAGAAAGACAAATTTTTCATATGCTTCTCGTCATAAAAAAAACAAAAAACACGTCATCCTACTTCGAGTTACACCTTAAAAAGGTACGGTCTGTCGGCGTTAGCCATATGAACCCCTACTAATCTTTTATAAATTGATAAGAAGATAGGAGGGAAAATTGGATAAATGTAGTTTAAGTGGTACTAAACAAAATTGAGCGTTTTCTTATGAGTTTAATTCAATTATGTGATATATGTCTATTAGAAGAATTAGTTTCTTCTTATATAGGTTATAGGTTTGAATTAACTACCACCGAGAAAAGAATTTTTGGTTAAAAAGTTTCTTCTATAAGATTCCATCACCGTGGAATAATCTTATTAAACATAGATATGATAGGATGAGGTTATCAACCTAACCTAATGAAAATACCGAAGGTACTCATAACAAAGGTTATCTAAAGAAAGCTTGTAGTGAAACAATAAAACAAGTACTTGAAGAAGCAAAAACCTTAAAACAAGCCAAAACTAAAATTAAATCATCAAAATTAGGATATTTCTGTTGTTCTAAATATAATGAAGATATTAATCTTCAATTTGGTTGTCCTCCAGAATATAAAAAAGAATATAAATCTTATCGAAAGAAAATAAAGCCAAAATATAAAATAACCCGAGAAATAGGGGAAATTTAAGGAAAATAATATAAAAAATGAAAAATACTTCCTAACAAAAATAGAAAATTTTTGAAAAAAAACCCTGAATAAGATATATTCATATTGGATTGATACAATTAAAATTAACTGGTCTATTGATATCAGGAATCGATCCCCTCTAATGATCATCTGTATGGATGAAAGAGTAATAAATAATCCATGTAGTAGTGTTATTGGAGATGCAGAATCTAATTTAGCAAACCGACTATTTTGTGTAAATACACATTCATATTTCTGCATAAGTTTAGATGATGCAAACATCAATAAAACTTGCACACTATCAATTAACTTAAAAGGGATATAAATTATTTCCTGGATCAAAAATTCTAGGAATACAATGGGAACATAAACTAGATTACATGGTCACGCACTTTTTAACAAAAACTTGAATAGACTCACAGGAAAATACTAAATTTTGGTCAAAATTTTAAAATCGACCCATTTACAAAAAATTTCGCAAAAAACGACCTATTCTAAAAATAATTGCCAAAACCTACCCAGTTTCAACCATCTGGCTGAAACTTGGTCGGTTTTGGTAAAAAAAACTTTGAAATTTCACTGGACTTGAAGTCCTGTGAAGTTTAGCAGTCATTTAATTAAGCTGCGTAACTTCACGGGAGTTCAAGTCCCGTGAAGTTTTTTTAACTACGAAACTTCTCCCGTGAAATTCCAGTCTCGTTGATCCCATCCCTCCAATCTACTAGATTACTAATCTTCTTGTTTGATCTGTAGTAATCCCTAACATCCTCTCTAACACAAGGCCTCATCTTAGTCTTAACCGTCTTTCTGCTACCTTCATCATTGTCCTCGTCATTGAATTGAAAACCCCTTGGCATGAACCGCTTCTTGAAGGACTCGGTCTCGCTAATCTCCTCCGACTCCTCATCTGACTCCTCATATAACTCCTCGTCGTTGTCGTCCGACGATATGGCGATTCAACTACACCCTTTAGCTTTATCTTTTGATTGCCGATCTCGATCTCGTCCATCCTCTTCTTTTTCGTGATCCGTTCGGATTTGAGTCCAGCAAGTGCTCGATTACGGATGTTGCTGCTGGTGCTAAGGATTTTAGATTTGGCCATGGCAGAAGCGAGCTTCCTCGCACTCTTCCTCTCGTTGCGGATCTTTTGCTCTTTGTAGTGCCGCTCGCAATAGCTTCGGCCAGGGGCTACCATCGACTAGCAACGTCACTCGCCGTTGCCGGTCCTCGTGCACTGAAGGAATGGGTGAATCTTAACCTAGCCGTGTTGTTTTGAAGATCCATTCAAAAAAATGAGGGCTATATTGTTGAAAGGGCCGTAAAAAGAAAAAAAGAAGAGGGGGAGGTTGGATTGGAGAAGAGAAGCAGCAAGTCTAGGGCCGCAAAAGAAAAAAGAAGAGGAGGAAGTTGGATTAGAGAAGAGAAGCGGCAAGTCTACTAAGATGAGGAGGCCTTATGTTGGAGAGGATGTTAGGGATTACTATAGATCAAACAAAAAGATTAGTAATCTAGTAGATGGGAGGGATGAGATCAACGAAACTGAAATTTCAAGTCCCGTGAAGTTTCGTAGTTAAAAAAACTTTACGGGACTTGAAGTCCCATGAAGTTACGCAGCTTAATTAAATGACTGCTAAACTTTACGGGACTTCAAGTCCCGTGAAGTTTCAAAGTTCTTTTTATCAAAATCGACCCAGTTTCAGCCAGATGGCTGAAACTGGGTCAGTTTTGGCAATTATTTTTAGAATAGGTCGTTTTTTGCGAATAATTTTGTAAATGAGTCGGTTTTGAAATTTTGTCATTCTTATTTCAAAACATAAATATTTAAGAAAATAAAGCCAAAAATATAAAATAACCCGAGAAATGGGGGAAATTTAAGAAAAAAATATAAAAAAGGAAAAATACTTCCTAACAAAAATAGAAAATTTTTGAAAAAAAACCCTGAATGAGATATATTCATATTGGATTGATACAATTAAAATTAACTGGTCTATTGATATCAGGAATCGATCCCCTATAATGATCATCTGTATGGATGAAAGAGTAATAAATAATCCATGCAGTAGTGTTATTGGAGATGCAGAATCTAATTTAGCAAACAGACTATTTGGTGTAAATACACATTCATATTTCTACCTAAGTTTAGATGCAAACATCAATAAAACTTGCACACTATCAATTAACTTAAAAGGGATAAAAATTATTTCCTGGATCAAAAATTCTAGGAATACAATGGGAACATAAACTAGATTACATGGTCACACACTTTTTAACAAAAACTTGAATAGACTCACAAGAAAATACTAAATTTTATTTAGTACCACCCAAACTAGATTTATTTATCCCATATCCTTGTCGTCTTTCTTATCAATTTATAGAAGAGAAATAGTGGGGTTTCTTGTGGCTAAGGCCGACGGTAGCATCTTCTTTTTTAGGTGCGACTTAAAGTAGGATGACGTGTTTTTTGTTTTTTCTGGTGGTGCCGAATGGATGGGATTTGTCTTTTGATCTATTATTAGACTAAAGGCAAGGTTGACATGTCTACTCCTTTTGCATAGTGAAGATTCCCTTCAATTATTTTTGGCTTGGTAGGACCCACCATGCTTACTATTCCTTCCCGTAATTTGACATCGTTGTATTAGCTGTTTCTTCATTAAGTCATTAAGTCTTCTGATTCTTGTGATCTGTAGATCTTCTTCGTTCTCCATAGAATAATGTTCTTGAGCAAAAGTACTGATTGTTCTTGGAAAAGGAGTTTGAAGTCTCCGTACAATACTTCTGCAGCTGCTGCATAAATATTTTTCTAAATCTATACATGATATTCTCTTTTTCATCTGGTGTTACAAATTAATTTTTTAATTTTGCATATATTGTTTCAGGCGGGTCAGGAATCCTTCCGATCTATTACAAGATCCTACTACAGAGGAGCTGCTGGGGCCCTCCTGGTCTATGATATTACCAGGTATTTTATGTGATTATTTAATAATCCTTCAAACTTGCATTCGTGTTGCAGTTACATCAGTATTCTTTTCAACTGATTTTCATGCTGCGCATTTTACTTTCCTTTCTTATATATTCAGGAGAGAAACATTTAATCATCTTGCAAGCTGGCTAGAAGACGCAAGGCAACATGCAAATGCTAATATGACAATCATGCTGATAGGAAACAAGTCTGACCTAGCTCATAGGAGAGCTGTCAGCACAGAGGAAGGAGAGCAATTTGCGAAAGAGCATGGTTTGATCTTTATGGAGGCTTCTGCAAAGACTGCACAAAATGTTGAGGAGGTAAGTGAAAACTTGTAATTTTCTATGGTACTTGGACTGTCGTTCTAGTTTTCATAATTTGATTTCAAAATTAATTCAGGCATTCATTAGCACAGCATCAACAATCTACAAGAAGATCCAGGATGGGGTCTTTGATGTATCTAATGAGGTCAGTTACATATGTAATTTTTAACTTGATTTTGCTGGTTGGTGGTTTCTGTTCTTAGCTTTATTTTCTAGTGTTGCGCATGTATTGACAGATAGGGAATCCATTTTGCAAATATTTGAGTTCCTCTGATTCATTACAAGTGAAGTGATATAAAATACTCCCTTTAAGAGGTGGAGTTGTGGAAAAACTTTTTATAGACAACATTAGCCCAATATTTTTTTTAATAATATTACATTCTAATCCTAACTAAACAAAATTAATTATCATTATTTATTAATTAATTATATTATATGCCATTTGTTTGTCAAATTTGTATAACTAAGGACATCTTATAGAACTATAAGTAATCTATAAGAACAAATATTTAAAGGTTATTTAGCTATTGGTCCATTGATTTTAAATCTTCAATAATTCTATATTAGTCCCTGAAAATTTTGAAATTGCTCATAACTTTAGGGACTAATATTAAATTATTAAAGATTTGAGGGATATTGTACCAAAAAGATTTGAGGGACAAATATGTAAATAAGTCATATTTAAAAGAAGGGTTAATTTTTGAAAACCCATCAAGTTATGGGGGTTGTCTCAGAATACACATCATACTCCCTTTAAGAGTGAGAGTTGTGAACAACATGACCCCTATTCTTTTTCAAATATTACATTCTAATCCCAACTAAACTAAATTAATTATCATTATTAATTAATTAATTATATTATATACCACTTGTCAAATTTGTATAACTAAGGACATCTTATATAAGTTATCTATAAGAACAAACATTTAAAGGTTATTTTGATATTAGTCCATTGATTTTAAATCTTTAATAATTCTATATTAGTCCCTAAAAAGTGTAAAATTGCTCATAATTTTAGGGACTGATATTGAATTATTAAAGATTTGAGGGATAAATATGTAAGTAAGCCATATTTAAAAGATGGGTAAAATTTTGAAAACCCATCAAGTATGGGGGTTGTCTTAGAATACGCGCTTAACTCATTTAATTTGAGAAAACCCCCTGACTATGGGGTTGTTGTAGATAATACCTCTCAACTTTAGTACAACAATTTTAGAAAACCCCTCAACTTTTGGGGTGTCCCATAAAAACTCCTCTGACCTTTTACACTTCTCTCAGCAAACTCCATTTATGTCATCACTTAAACATATGATTTGGATGAAATACCCTCTTGAAAAAAACTCATTTTAGTTAAAAAGAAACCGTCAACCGTTAATAAAAGGTCTCCAACCAATTTACGCACTTTCTATTTTTTTCGTAAAATATAATCCATATGAGTGCATAATATGTATAAATCATTCTTCAATTATATTTTATAATTTTCTAACACTAAAGAGTAATTATTTTGAAAATTTTAGACAGTTTAGTTGGGAAGATGGGGAAAGATTACAATTTTAGATTTTGAAATTGATCACATAACTAGTGTGTTCTTTCATAAATTTGCACATTTTGACGCAGAAAATTCTAGAAAAAATGTTTTGAACTATTCTAATACTCGGTCATTGGCTATAAAGGACAGGTGGGAGTGAGTTTTTATAACTAAATGAAATCTGTTAGCACTAGATAAAACCAATCATTTTTCTTTGATGAATTCAAAACTTTATTTTTTTCATTAATAATAAGAGTCTTTTCGATTTTGGTCTCTTACATCATTAATATTTTGAAATTAGTCCTCCAAATTATTGAAATTGATCTTAAATCATTAATCTACTACTCTATACAAACGGGAGAACCCAAGATTCACTATTCATGCTACAATAAATACTACAGTAGTGTTTACTGTAGCAAATATGAAACTGGGCACTTTGTTTTTCAAAAAATATCACTGCAGCACACGGGAAAACGGTAGCAGAGGTGGGATACTATAGCAATCCTAAAAATTCAAAAACATTACTGTAGCAGTTAAAAAACCGGGATTGCTGTAGCGCGAAAAAAATATGGCGTGCTTTGTACGGTGTTCACACTAGTATTTTATAATTTTAAAATTCACTATACCTATGGAAGGCAATATGTTAAAAACCAGCAAGGTTTTACGCAGGGAAATATCTGAAATATTTTAATTTATGGTAATCATATAACTTTTTGGCAACCATGTTATTCTAAATAAATAAACTTAAAGTACACAATTAAGATATTTGATCACGTGCAATGCGCATGCCATTTCACATACTCTTCAGAAATTTTTGAGTTCCTCGGGTTCATTACAAGTGATATATCTTTTATGAGTTATGTGGTAGAAGTTTGAGTTCTTTGGCTCTCATTGTTGAGATTTCAAGCATAGTTTGATAAAGGTGTTGAATTTTCAAGTTTATTATATGTTCTTACATGTGTGATTGTGGAATTTTATATAAAATGCACTGTCCATCCGATTAACATGTTTCCTCCGTTATTTAGTTTCTTAGGCTTCCATACTGTTCATAGAGTGAAAAATACTGCCTTCGACCGGTCCAGGGATTTAATACATATGAATTGAACCCAACACTGTAATGTTTCTACAATGTATGAATTTGTACAGAATTATTCTTTATTGCAATTACAGAACAAGCATCACTGGCGGTGGATCACTAGGATATTGACTTTGTACAGGTTATGATCCATGTTCTATGTTTCGTACCGCTATTTATTTTATGATGGTTTGTTCAGTCTGCAGTTTTTGTTAGTAGTCTATGGTTGGAACGGGATTATGGTTGACAAATCATTTCAATTTACTTAACCGGTTAATCCATTCATACTGGATTCAAAATATCTTCTCTGATTTGAATGCTGAAAATGAAATTTCTATAGCTATCTGATATTAGTAGCCAACTGATGGATTCATCATTTGTTTCTACTGTCAATTAATTTATGCTGTGTACATTTTGCCTTGCAGTCTTATGGCATCAAAGTTGGATATGGAGGGATACCTGGGCCATCTGGAGGAAGAGATGGCTCCTCTTCTCAAGCTGGGGGCTGCTGCAGTTGAAGAATTTATCCCTCATCTCGTGCTGCTGTCGCGTACCGAACTATTTTGCTTCATTTCATCTCATCTCATCTCATTGTGGTTATTGACTTAATGGGATGTTCGCAACTTGAATCCCTGTCATCTCATCTCATTGTGGTTATTGGGATGTTTGCAACTTGAAACCCTGTCAAGGACTATTTTGCATAAAAGCGAATGACAAATATTGTACTATGTTCTAGCTTCCGAGAAAATGCTTTGTACATCTTACTTCCAAGTCTCGAAATTGTTTGTGGATAAACTGTGGTTTGAGAAGTGAAATTGATTCCAGTATTCTCAATGTTGTGTAAAAAAATTTCTTCTGTTTTTGACTTTTTAAAGAACGCCACCTGCTCTGTGACTATACGAAGTGTGCGATTGTGTTACTGTACCTGCTGTTTTTTACTTGGAAAAAATAAATAAATAAAGGGAGCTCGTGTTTCTGCAACCAACCCACAATCCAGGAGAAATGACATTTTGAAGGGTAAAAAACTTGTTGCGAGTTCTAAGTACTATTACATTTTATTAGACATGCGATGATATAGTGGATTTATTAAACTTTTTGGATGAAGCACGCAGGCTTATTCCTATCAAACTTGTTAATCCGCGTCGGGTTAGATCTGGATCATGGGGCACCGTAGCCCATAAGTCTTTGTATTGTTCCTCCCATTTCAGTTGATTTAGATACGCAATAGAATTCAGTAAGTTCACGTTTCCGATTTGCGCCATCCATACAATGAGATCTGACATGGCTCTTTTTTCGCTTCTCACTCTTTTTCGTATTTCATTTCCAATAAGTCGTATTTCACTTTCACATACATTTTCAGTATAACAAGCATCGGAATTACCGAAAAGTGTCAAGTTTTTACAATCTAATTTTTCGCTTTCACTAAAACAAACATATAGAGAGCAATTCATATTCGGTTATGCAAACGCATACACATGCCAAATAAAACTTAGAGGTGAATACTCTTAAATACCCTATTGTTGCTAAAAACTACACAAAATTACCCGAAGTCTAAAAACCTGCTCCAAAATGCTCTAAATTTCTAAAAATGTTGCACTTTAATACCATCATTAGTTTATTAAAGTGCAAGTTTTAGAATTTTTGGGGGTATTTTGCTGGAATAGTAATAATAGTATGCCCTTGAACGTCCAGTACAAATTTTGTAATAATATTATAATGTTAATAAACTTAATCGTTGCACATATAATTTGGGTATTATTTATATAATTGTTATATATCATTAAAAGTTATTTTGTTAGATCATGCACTGTGATGGTCACTTGCTTGGAGATATGATCTAACTTAGAAATTTCTTAAATTTGTGCTTAATCTATAACTAGTAAAGAATAACTTTGTTATAACATATTATTATGCATGACACCAATATGTGAGATGTGGTCGTGGGTCTCAACCATCGGGAATGAGGATTCTCCTGGCGTATGTCATAAGCACGCATTGTGATGTGTGCAGCACTAGACCGTATTTGGATTCTCTAGGACGAGTCACCTAGGAGATGAAGATTTCAGATTGTTACATGATCCCTTTGACTTGATGATATTATCATTTCGATTTGATAATTTAGCATACTTTGATGTAATTATTAAGCTGGTTTAGCAAGCGCTACAAAAACCTAAAACGTTGGGTTGCTAAATTTTATTTAGAAAAGCAATGGATATCTAGGTAGAATCCAGTATGTTCATTATGATGAGTTAATTTATTATGCATTCCTATGAAGTTATTAAATTCTTACCGGCAGGTGGTTTTTAATTTTTTTAAAAAAATTACTTTCTTATAAAAATAAAATATTTTGATATTTTAAAATGATTTTTGTTTATGTTCATGGGATTTACAATTTAGGCATGAGCAAATAGGTGAGTTGTCCTGCTTAAAAGAGTTGCCTAAAATAAATGATACTGGAGAGGACTGAAGTAAGATATTATTTATTAATAATTAATCCTATATTATAGAAGAGCTTTTATGACCAGTTGGTCAGATAGGGATTTGATTGTTAAATTAAAATTATTAATTTGACTAGTTGAGATGCACGTGCAATGCACGTGGTTAAATATTATGATTAGGTATTCCTCGGTTACTCTTTGATAATTTTTGCTCACTTTGATTAAGTAATTTTGGTTTATTTTCTTACTAAAATTTATTCATCGATTACACTTTGATTATTTATTTATTTAATGTTTGTTTGAATAGGCTACACCTAGTTTAAATTTTTATGTTGATAGTTGAATTTTTAGGAAATAAATATAATCTAAATCCAATTTAAATTTTATTTCATTTGGATCGGCATGAAACCAAGCTTGACCTGAGGAAGTATAGTGTTATGAAAGTGAAAACAGTTGAAAAAATAACATTATAAAAGGAAGATGAATAATAAAGCGAACGAGTCAAGATGGTTGATTTAAAGTGGGCTAAAATGACAGAAAATAGTTAATGAAAAAAATCATAGATTGAAGATTAATGCTAACTCTAATACACTTTTATATGATAAAAGCATCCACATATGCATATGAAAGTACTAAATATAATTTATGAAAATCCCTTCTAAAGATTCCTAATTTTACTAAAAAAAAAATAAAACTATTCTATAACAATTCACAAAACATTATCTTTTCTTGCTTCTATTTTATTTTATATTGAGTCAAGATTAATCCTTCTTCATATTTATCATTTTTCTGGGTAATTCTAGAGTAGTGTTTTCATCGTCTACATCAATTATGATATGAGATTGGAGCATGATATCTTTCCTTGGGCTCATTCATCTTTTGTCTTCTCGTCTAAATTCACAAAAAAATAAATATATTTCTTATGTTCAACACAAACTTCTGACAATACAGACTTAGATTTTTTTTCTATTTCAATAAGTATAGATATTAATTTTATATATAAATTTTTTTTTGTGTTTTAAATTTATTACTTAAATAAGGTTAGGAGCTACCTCTTTTTCATCTGCAATGAATTCTTCTGTTGTGCATCCAATAAGAATTTCTGATGTGTCATAATATTACATTTGCTCTGTCTGTGTCATTTTTCATGAGGATCTGAACTAAATACATTACATTTTTCATTGTTAATTTACTTTAGATTATATTATTAATATTTAATTTTGATATATTTATTTTATGAATAAGAAATATCACTTAACCTTGGTACATCATCAGTGATTCTACAACATTTATCATATGGACACTGATTATTAATATCTCTATCCACTTTCTTATTGCAGCATTTGCAAACATAGAACCACTGCTCAACTCTATTATAAATGGTAGTTATTATTGCCTTAAAGGTGTGATAATGTATATGTATATTGATAAATTATTCTTAGGTTTAATTGTATGGATTTTGGAGTAGGTTTTCTAAGATCCTACCTCTTTTGAATATTATAATGTTTGTATATATTAGTAATTTGAATTTTTGTTCCATTTATAAAGAGCCTTAATGGAGATGCTTTTGTCTTGACAGCTTACTCTAAAAGAATGCTGCATATTAGCTTTAAAATATAATAGTTTTTCTTTATAGTGTTATATGGATGTTTGTTTGGTTTGTTTACTAATCTCTTATTTCTTCAGTAAGTTGTATCTTTAGATTGATATATATTATTGATGCAATTTACGATGACATGCATATCTCCTCTATAAATTTGAGACAAACATAAGGTGAATTTTATATTTAGTGGCCTTTAATAAGAGTTTTAGTAATGAAATATAATACCTTCATATTTAGAGATCTTGAATTCTAATAGTGCTATTACATCATTATCTTTGATCGTGTCTTTAAGCTAATAGTGCTATTACATCATTATCTTTGATCGTGTCTTTAAGAATTGATCCTTCGTTAGTAGTCATACCCCTAAATAAAGTCACACGCAGGGTCAAGAATTGATCCTTCGTTAGTAGTCATACCCCTAAATAAAGTCACACGCAGGGTCGTGATACTATATAATAAAAATAAAAATGGTAATTTTATATTTTTTTCTTACGCAGAGTCATGACATGGTAATTTTTCTTTTATCTTCTATGAAGAATGTTTCTTTGATTGGAACAAAGTTGTTCAATATATTCTTCAGGGGGTATTCAGTTGGTGTTTCTTTGATAAATATAACTTATAATAGTGTTAATTGAAGTGATTCATGGACGTTCCGAACTTCATTTGAAATAAAAACCGCTTGATTCTTTTGAATGATATCTCTAAATTTTCTTATAGTTCTACATACATAAATCTTTATATTTTTTTACCCTATAAATATTATTACCATTAGAGATCAATATTTATAGATTATAATAAATTAATGTTAAGCTATTATATTATAATCTTTTATCAGTTTTTTACGATTTAGTCTTCTATCAATTAATGATACTTGTGTATTTTTGTTGCTCTAACATATTGGTAAAATTATATGCAGTTACTTTAATTTATATAATAATATTAATTTTTAATTTATTATATATTTTTTATATTTTTATTCTTTATATTTTTAATCTGTTATTATTATTATTATTTTACCAGTATCAACTTGACTATTTTCATATTTGAAAAGTGATAGTAAACCTTAAATTATAAGTTATATTTATATATCTTAATGAAAGAATATCACACAATTATTCTTTTCTTTGTCAAGTTCTAAATTTTTAGCTTTTTATTTAGTGTAATTTTAGACTTTTAAGAGTATTTTTTCTAATTTTAAAAAAAATTACTTTTTTGTAATACTTCATGTAATAAGCTCATAGGAGTTGTTTTATATATTTTATTAATCTTATTTAAATTGTTGAGCTATAGATAGTTCATGGGGTATTAGGATATGATATAAGTATGATTAGGATATATTATAATTTAAATTAAATATTTAAAATAGTACATGATAATTTTGATTATGGAAAGCTTTTCCCCAACTCGTACTTTTAAAGAAAGTATGATTTTTGTTTTCCTTTATTTTTTTATAATTTTAAGAATGACTTTTGTCTCTTTAATTTGTTTGGTGGATTTTATAAATATCTCATCCACATTATGTACATTTATAGGTCTACGTTATTCCCGGGTTCTACCTTTGGGGTAGACATTATTTGACTGATTAATTTATTTAGTTTTTTCATATACGCCCTTCATTTTGTAGACATTTGTAAATTTAGCATTTAATAATTTTATTTAGATTTACATTTTAATTTAAACGGTTTCCTTATCTTCATACTATGTATATCCAATAAGAATTCATTAATTTATCAATTTACTCTTACTTAATGGAATAATATTTGAATTCCAATGGTATTTTTGTCTACCGAAAGATTTTTTCGAACTCGTGCTTTTAAAGAGAGTATGATTAATAATTAATTCTCGATATGAGACCC